ACGGCGAAGAAGCTGGTGCGATATCTCGATGGCCGCGACAAGGAGCCTACTGCACCCACGGCTCCAGGGGTGGATTCCGACGCAGACGAGGCGTACGCAGATGCGTACGACACTTGGGCCGCCGGACATGAGGCGATCAAAACGCTTCTATACCAGACGCTACCGGAAACGCTGAAACTCCGGATTATCCCCGAGAAGAAGGTGTCCGGAGCTTGGAAGGTGGTCATAGCTGAGTATGACAATCGCGGTGACTTCGTCCAGGCTGAACTGCTCCGACGCATGCATGCTCTCCACTGCACCGAGGAGAAGGACCCTCGACCGACCCTAGATAAGCTCCAGAAGCTTAAGGCCGAGTTCACGACAGCTGGCGGTGTTCTTGACGACAAGCAATACCGCGTGCTCATCATCAGCTGCCTCCCGGAGTCTTATCGCCCCGTCGTACGCACCATCCTCTCAGCTGCTCACCTGGCTTCCATCCAGGCTACTGGCACCACCACAACTCCCACTCCCACCATCACATCCGACGAACTCTTACGCCAGATCTACTCAGTCGCACGTGACGAGTTCGCCCTGGACGAGTCGCAGAGCACTGCGGAAGACTCCGCACTCATGACGAGGTCGGGTGGCAAGGACGTGAGGAAGACGTGCAGCAATTGCAATAAGCCCGGCCATCTGAAAGCGGACTGCTGGGCAAAAGGTGGTGGAAAAGAGGGCCAAGGGCCACAGAGCAAGAACAGAGGGAGGAAGCATGACAAGGGCTCAGGGGGAGCCAGTGCGAATGCGGCGACAACAGGCAATGACGAGGCGTTCGCATTCGCCATTGCGACCGATTTTTGAAGGTCGAGGGAGCGAAGCTCCCGAAGCTCACCCAGATCCTCGATTCAGGTGCAAGCCGACACTTCGATCCGGTACGCTCGAATTTCACCACATTCCGGGAGATCGAACGCAAGCCGATCACGTCAGCCGACGGCCGTGTCTTTTATGCCACCGGTGAAGGCGACGTCTGCGTCGCTACTATGCACAAGGGAAAGACAGTCAAGTTTACCCTATGTGATGTTCTCTATGCGCCGTCTATGCCTTTCGCCCTCATCTCCATCAGCCGCACTACAAAGGCTGGCTACGCCGTCCGTTTCGAGCGCGACGGGTGCCATGTCGTCTCCCCTCGAGGTACCACCGTGTTTGTAGCCGCCGAGCGCAACGGTCTGTACCCGCTACCCGGATCGCCGGTCCCATCAGCATCTGCGAAGGAGACAGCGTTAACGGTAACGCTATCACTCACCGAGTTCCATCGACGCATGGCCCATGCCTATGCCCCTGCCCTCAAGAAGATGGTTGAGGCTAACGTCGTCACCGGAGTACGACTCGAGGACACGACCACCGAGTTCTGTGAACCTTGCACAAAGGCGAAGCAGACCCGTGAGTCGTTCCCAAAGGCGCGCTCGAGCCCGCAAGTGACCGCGTACGGTCAGCGCGTGCACACGGATGTCTGGGGGAAAGCGCCGGTGAAGTCCCTCGGCGGCAAGGAGTACTATGTCTCCTTCACCGACGACTACTCAGACGAGGCAGTTGTGTGCCCTATTGCCCGCAAAAGCGATGTACTCACACAGTACAAGGCCTACAGCTCATGGGTGAAGGCCCACCGAGGTGTCAACTCCATCAAGGAACTGCAGAGCGATAATGGAGGGGAGTACATGAGCACGGAATTCCAGGCTTATCTGAAAAGCGAAGGTACGCACCATCGCTGAACCGTGCATGACTCCCCGCAGGAGAATGGCAAGGCCGAACGCCTTAACCAGACGCTCGCCGAGCACTCCCGCGCGCTGCTCTTCGACGCGGACCTCCCCAAGTTCATTTGGGCCGAGTCCGTAATGCATACCGTGTGGCTTCGCAACCGCACGATGACCCAGAACACCCCCGACTTGACCCCGCACGAACGCGCTACCGGCGAGAAACCCCATCTCGACCCTCTACCGTGTTTTGGATGCACTGTATGAGTGCGCGTTGACGCAGCCTCGAAGCTCGATCCGAAGTCGCATCCAGGCCGCTGGGTTGGGTTCGATGCGCACAGCAAGGGCCACCGCGTGTACTGGGCCGACAAGCGCAAGGTATCCGTCGAACGCGACGTGCATTTCGTCGAGGAAAACGCACCCATCTCCGTCAACGTTCAGCCCACGGGGGAGCCGAACAAGGCCAAAAGCGGCCAGAACGCGCCTACGGGCACTTCACTCCAACCTCCATCGACCTCCACATCAGCTGCGACCATCGTGCCGTCCAACGCCGTCCAACTGCCTGCGACCATCCCGAATGAGTCGACAAATGCGAACACCGAGCCACCGCAGCCAGAGAGCGTGGCGATCAAGCCGGAGAGCACGCCCGAGCCAGGAGCTGGATGTCCTAAACGCGTACGTCAGCCGTCTCAATGGATACGCGACTTACAGTCAGGTACCAGCACCACCGGTGGACGCGGTGCACAGCGCGTTCCGAGGAGCGTTCTCGAGCACGCGAAGCTCATGCAGGATCAGCCGGAGGACGAGTCGGACGATGAGGGGGAGACCCTCTATGCTCTGGCGGCCATGGCTGGCGACACTCCATTGTACCGCGAGGCGATGGCCGGGCCGGAACGCGAGCAATGGCGAGAGGCAATGCAGGAGGAGCTGGCGAAGATAGAGGCGATGGGAACCTACGAGCTAGTCGAGAAGCCGGGGAACGCGCACGTTGTTGGATCGGTATGGTCGCTCCACAGGAAACGTGACGAGAACAACGAGATCGCGAAGTACAAGGCACGCCTGTGCGCGCAAGGGTTCTCGCAGATCCCGGGCATCGATTTCGACCAGACAGCGTCACCAACAGCAAGTCTTGCGTCGCTACGGCTCGCACTCGCGCTCGCCGCTGCTAACGACTGGGAAATCCACCAGATAGACTTCAAAAACGCATATCTGAATGGCGAGCTTGACGAGACCATCTATATGAAACAGCCGCATGGTTTCGAGGTTCCCGGACGTGAAGACTATGTCTGGAGGCTCATCAAGGCACTGTATGGCCTCAAACAGGCTGGCCGACAGTGGTATATTCAGCTCTGTGAGCTGTTCGCTGGCCTGGGTCTAGAGCGAAGCAAACACGACTTTGGTGTGTTCTTTGCCTTCGTCTCTAACATCATCATTATCATAGTGGTTCATGTCGACGACTGCACACTGATCACCAATACGA